GCCCCGGTCCTGATGGCCTGCCCACTGAGTTTTATCAACTATTATCTGATGATGTTTTAAACGTACTAACCTCTATGTTTAATGAAGGTCTCAGCAGTGGTTGTATGGGTGACTCATTTTATGAAGGTGTCTTAACTCTACTATATAAAAAAAACGATGAAACTGATATAGATAATTACAGACATTTAACTATAATGAATACTGATTATAAGATACTAGCAAAAATAATAATGAATAGATTAACAGATATACTAGATAAAATAATAGATAAAGAGCAAACATGTGCTATAAAAGGTCGCCTCATGTGGGACAACTTATCAATTTTAAGAGAAATCATAAATAAACCAAAAGAAGAAAAAGGTTTTTTATTATTGGGCTTGATAAAAAAAAAGCCTTCGACTATTTATCCAGAGATTATTTATGGTCGGTGATGAAGGCCTACGGATTTCCTGAAGCCTTCATAAACATGATTAAGTGTCTGTATTTTAAATATTGTGTCTGTGTAAATGTAAACAGTGTGTTAACAAATGCATTTAATGTTGAAAGAGGGGTTAAGCAGGGCTGCCCTTTAAGCGCAGCTCTGTACGTGCTAGCCATAAGTCCATTAATTAAAATAATAAACAATGACAGGTTAATATCAGGAACACCAGTTGGCCATGCGCCCAAAATAACTGCCATCGCCTATGCAGACGATGTCACTGTTATTATAAAAAACCAACAAGAAATGGATGTTTTAACAAATCACCTAAACGTATATGAATTGGCATCAGGAGCTAAATTAAACCACAACAAAACTGAAGGTGTCTGGATCGGCACCGACGATGCCAAATGCGACATAAACATTCAAGTGAAAAAAGAAATTAAAATACTTGGAATAACTATTTGTAGCTACAACTGTGCTGAACTCAATTGGGAGAACAAACTAAGTGAAGTTAAAGAACAAGTTAAACAATGGGAGAATAAAAATGCAAATTATAAATCAAGAATAAACATAATAAAATCATTCATACTTAGCAAGATCCTTTTTCTAGCAAACATTTTCCCCCCACCAGCCCAAATAATTATGCAATTAAACAAACAGTGTGTCAATTTGGTGTGGGGTACAACAAGGGAGGTTACTAAACGTAATTTGTTATTTAAAAGTAGGGAATATGGAGGCCTGGGAGCCATAGACCTGGGCATTAAACTAAAAATTACCTTTGTAAAAAACATCTCGGCTGCAATAAATAGGAAAGCACCTTGGGTCGAGGATGGAAAAATGGGATGGCAAAAAAGAAGAGGCAGAGCTAGAAATGGGCCATATTACAAATTAGTTTATGGTGATTTCACAACTGAAGTTCAACATTTAGGGATTGATTGGATCGGACTACCGAATAGAGTAATTTTTAAAATGGTAAACGATTTCAAATATGGAGGTGTTATAAGTAAACATACAAAAACCTAACACCTGAGGCCTGTACTACAAAGCCGTATTTTCGCTTAGCCGGCTAACTTCAGGGAAAACTCTGGCTTTCCGGTCCTACGACGCTGGTTCTCTTTTTAGCGGGCTAGATCTCCATGGTAACTTATGCTGAGCGGCTAACCTCCTCGGGAGGAGGTTAGGTTGCAGGCTAAGAGATCAACTCAGTGAAAGCACCGCCTGCTGACCAATCAGAGCTCCGTGTGCGGAGTTTAAAGCTATCAAGTCATATTACAGGATAGAGGAAATACAGAAAAACTGCCATTGCAGGAAAGACGGCCGGCCAAAATCAACTGACTGTGTGAACGTGAAAATTAATAGAATATCCCCTCCCATCTTCAGAGCAATCTGACTATTATAACATTAGCGTTAAGAAAGCTTACTTAAATATCTGCCACAACATAAGTAACCGGATCAGAGTAACATTAAGTACAGTCCTGTGAGTGCAGACGTCGATATGTCCCATTCATATCATATCACATCATAATGTATCATATATTTCCTTATTTGAGTCAGCTTCTTGAGCCGTATCTGGCCCTGCAACACTCACAGTGTCACATACTGTATGCAGAAGTATTATTTTAAGCAACACATTAAGTTGACGAAACACCCGAGTCAAATGTAATTAAAGTCAGATCCACTCGTGTCTTGGACGGGGCAGTGATATCATAAACCTGTTAATGAACGTATTCAAACGCTTTTTCTTTTACCAGCTGTATTCACCTTGCAGGTGCAGCTATGTGGCTTTTATCCTGGATAAAGTGTTTAAGTCATGGATGTTTAAAGTTTAACTTCTTCACATTTGACTAATATTAAAGTTCACTTTTCATTCAGGAAGTATGACGCTGCGCTGTCAGTACGCTTGTCCATGTTTGTGATTGGTCGAATGCTCCAAATACCACCCCTTTCATGTGAACGTGCACCTAACTAGATAGGACACGGCTGGTTTGAGCGATCCACTTGATAACCAGCGTCGTAGTACAGCTTAGCGAGAGCACGTATGTTTTGGATTGGGCCAACCGGCTAACTCAAACATATCCAGGTTAGGAAAATCCGGCTTCGTAGTACAGGCTTCAGGCCTCTGACAAAGGTAACGAAGTCTTGAAATTAGTTAAAAGGAAACAGTTATCGGAGAGCATGAGAGACGTGAGGTGGCTGATATCGGTTAACAGACTTGCGGTCAGAGCTGTAGTCTCATGGAGCTGCTATGTGAAAACTAGAACATGCCCCATGATTAACTGTGAGGAAGACGAAACTTTACAGCACCTCCTCATGGACTGCTACAGAGCCGAGGAGGTGTGGTCGCTCCTACGGGGCATCGGTTTGGAGGTCAATGTAGAATATGTCTCAATTATGTATTGTATTCTGGATAAACACAGGGAACTTTTTCAGCTGGAAATTTGTATAACATGTATGAAAATCTGGAAAACAAGGTGCAAGATGATACTAAATCAGACGATAATAAACAGTGGCACCATCGTGAAACAAATACTTACTGAACTAAGGAGAAGAAAAACCATGGACAAATCCCAGACTCAGCCATGGGGCATTTTGAGTCTGTGACCGAACTGAGTCTCATTGGAATATAAACGTGCTCTCTTTATGTTATTTATATATTTATGCATTGTGTGTCGTGTGTATTATTAATGTAACTTTTGTATATCATGTACTGCCCAAATAATTTAAAATAAAGTTTTCTAAAAAAAAAAAAAAAAAAAAATGACATGTGATATACCATGGGTAGACCAAAAGTAAGTCTTCTCTCTTATTTTTAATATATTTCTAATCTTGTCACTCTTGAAGGAGTGACAAAAATGCAAACTTCTTGCAATGTTTCTATTTTTAAATAGAAACATTGCAAGAAGAGTCTATATACAAGTAAATGGAATAAGATATAGATACATAATTTGCAAGATGCAAACAGATGAATGTGTATGGCTTAGGTGTGTAATAGTGTTATGGCCTGTGGTCATTCCTCCCTGTACTAAATAAGCCAGCTCATTAGCTTCTGTATTGTGAACTGTTTACAATACTGCTCCAAAATGCTTTGTTTTTTAACCCTCCTATTATTTTGCTGGCTACTTTCGCCTCATTATTTATATTAAGCTTTTGGACCGGCTGTGAAATGGTGACGCAGCTTCAGTCCTTCGACTTCTAATTGGTCAAGGCTCGTTTTGGAGCTCAGCTCCGCCCAGAGGAGCGACACTCAGCCAGAATCCGCCGCTTATTGGAGGAAAATCCTTTCAAAAAGTGCCGCCCTCTGCTGCGAACCATCCCGCGCTCCTCTAACATATAAAGGAGGGTTTCTTCGGTCGAATTAGTACTTTATTTTGTTCCGACTTCGAAAGTACATCTAAAAATGAGTGGAAGAGGCAAAACCGGCGGAAAAGCCAGAGCAAAGGCTAAGACCCGCTCCTCTCGTGCCGGGCTCCAGTTCCCTGTCGGCCGTGTCCACAGACATCTGAGGAAGGGTAACTATGCTCATCGCGTCGGAGCCGGAGCCCCCGTCTACCTGGCGGCTGTGCTGGAGTACCTGACCGCTGAGATCCTGGAGCTGGCTGGAAACGCTGCCCGCGACAACAAGAAGACCCGTATCATCCCCCGTCACCTGCAGCTGGCTGTCCGCAACGACGAGGAGCTCAACAAGCTGCTGGGAGGAGTGACCATCGCTCAGGGCGGTGTGCTGCCCAACATCCAGGCTGTGCTGCTGCCCAAGAAGACCGAGAAGGCCGCCAAGAAGTAAACCACAGGAACCATCCTCTCAAACAAACCAAGGGCTCTTTTAAGAGCCACACTCACCTCTAACTAAAGATCGCCTTCCTTTTATTATTTATAGTTTTATAAAAGTTTCGTGGGGAATTCTCCTTCCATTATACATTAGAAATATCCCACTGTTCATCAATCATTCACCTTGTTATGATGGCCAACTGAAGGAACACATATCTACTGCACATTTAATTCCCACACCGATATGGTAGGCTACCATGCGCATTATTCTGATGTTTGAACTGTCTTGTAGAGCCACTCTGCTGGGACATAGACATTTAATACATTAGCTATATAATAATAATACCTCTCTTTTATAAAGCCGTTTTTCCCGATGCTCAACGCGCTTTCATATATAATTTTTAAATCTCTCGCTGTTCTATATATTACCACATGAACCAAAGAACATTAATTAACCTTCATAAATGCATTTAATGCAGTGCTAAAGGGTTGGAGTTCACTCATTTGTGTCTTATCTTTGACAATATATGAACACAATGAGTGATGAAAATGGGAATAATAAAATGGAGACAGTTAATGACTGAAGACATTTCCATAACAACATTTAAACATGAATATAAATGTAAATAGCTATTTTACTAAATATATATATTTATATATATATATATCATTAATTAAATTATATAATGTTGTATTACATCACAGCTAAATAAGATCCCTTGATTCAATCAGACAAAGACAAAAGTGTTTAACATGCTCATTCCAGCGGCTACCAAACTACAGGGATAAGACATAAAACGGGGGGGGTGTTCAGAATAATGTTTCAAATACTTGTTTCTTTTTTTTTTGTCATCCTTGCGCAGGGGCCATGCTAATCTTCTCTGTATCGAACCAATTTTATTATATGTGCTATCGAAATAACACGAATACAAATACTTGTTTCCCCTTCTTACAATCCAATACAGTAGATAGGCTACATCTGATCAAAGTACATCGTAGGCTCAGTCATGCGCAGACGATAACCAATCCCGTGCGAGCAACAGCACAGCAGTATTTGCATCGAGGGGATATAAATAGACCGCGCTGTGTCTTGTGCGGCACCGAGTCTGACCAACCTCACTCTCTAATCATGCCTGCAGACGCACCCCCCGTCAAAGCGGCCAAGAAAGGCTCAAAGAAAGCCGTCGCTAAGACCGTCAGCAAGACTGGAAAGAAGAGGAGAAAGTCCAGGAAGGAGAGCTACGCCATCTACGTCTACAAGGTGATGAAGCAGGTCCACCCCGACACCGGCATCTCCTCCAAGGCCATGGGTATCATGAACTGCTTCGTGAGCGACATCTTCGAGCGCATCGCAGGTGAGGCCTCTCGCCTGGCTCACTACAACAAGCGCCGCACCATCACCTCCAGGGAGATCCAGACCGCTGTCCGCCTGCTGCTGCCCGGAGAGCTGGCTAAACACGCCGTGTCTGAGGGCACCAAGGCCGTGACCAAGTACACCAGCTCCAAGTAAACTCTGCTGCTGATATACCAACAACACAAAGGCTCTTTTAAGAGCCACCCACTACATCTATAGACGTGTTCCTCTGTTTTGAATAAGTGTTATGCACGATCCATGATTCGCATACATCATATGTAAATCACTTGACATTAAATATATATTTGATACTTAAATAGTCGTAGAGACATATGCCGTGCTTTACTTCCTCTTTATTTTTCATCTCAATGCAATATATCTGTCCAACAGCACCCTCTGGCTACAACAGGATACAACACGTGGTCATTTTTATATTTAATATCAGCATCAGGAAAGCCGTAAGCTTTCATTGACCCTGGAAAGATTATCAATTTTTCTTTTTTGGGTGTCATGCCACACAACTCTAGGCAACCTTTTATACACCACTTCAATTAGAAGATTTTACTTTTTTTATTTTGAAAACTTTTAAATTGTTTTGTCAATACATAATAGACATACACAAACCACTACATAAAAAAATGTACACACGACACATAAATACTAGTGATGGGAATTCCAGCTCTTCTTGGTGAGCCGGATCATTTGGCTCGGCTCACCAAGAACAGCCGGCTCTTTCGGCTCCCAAACGGCTCTTCAGTTTACCACATATTATACCTTTTATAATTCAATCAAATGTAGCTCTGTTTTGACTAATGATTTATATGTGTACACATATCACTTAAATTATTCAATACATCCTTTGTACTGAAGCATTCAAAAGTAAAAATGACATTTTTAATATCAATTATTTGCTGCATGTGGCCAATTGTTTTCATTGCATTTACAGACCCTTGTATCTCTCTGATACCACCCAATGAATGCACAGACTTGCTTGTAGAACCACGCTACACAAAGCAGATAGCAACACCTATAAAAACTTAAGCATAGACATTTAAAAAAAGGGGCTACTGTATCGACATTTTAAATTTATATTTAAAGAAAAGGCCCTGACAAAACAGCAGGGCTCTATTTCAGTATTAACTATAGAAAAAAGACAGCAACAGCTGACATCAAATCTTTGCTGAGCCCAAAGATAATCATAAATAAATAACATAGTGAAAATAAATATATTGCAATGCTCAGTACAGCAGCATCCAAACGTCTCTATTCATAAAAAAACATAATACAAATAAATGTATTGCAATGCTCAAAACAGCAGCATCCCACAGTCTCTAATCCTTGGATATTACATGTCACTGCATGCATGCACGGAGCAGCTGTAGCGCGGAGATCATCATATCATTCTGTCTTGTATTACTTAACAAAAAATAACAAAAACTAAAAAACGGCTCGTTCGCGGGCGCGAGCCGGCTCCCGTCGTTCACTTAAAAGAGCCGGCTCGTTCGCGACCGACACATCACTAATAAATACATACTTAAACACAAAAGAACAGTATTTCAGACAGCAGAAAGGGAATAGTCCGATCAGCCTTTGTTCAATCACAGACTCAGTATGCTCCATGGTAGTCTGTGACTTGTCGAGGCTTTTTCTTCTCCTTAGCTCGGTTCCGATATGTTTTGTTATGGTACAACTGTTAATTATTGTTTGATGTATTACCACGGTGCATCTGGTCTTCTATATCTGCATACAAGGGATGCAGAAGAAACAACTTGGGTGCTTTCAATAAGTGATTTTTTATATAATTTATCCGCCATATTTGTATTCATTTATTTAAAAACAAATATATATATACTTGGAAGTCCATTCCATTTAAAGGTGTGTATTCATTTATGAAATCAGCATATACTAATTTGTAATATGGGCCATGTCTTGCTCTACTTCTCCTTTTTTTCCACCTTGATATATCCCCAATCCAGGGTGCTTTCCTTGATATTGCCGCTGTAAACATTTTAACAAAAGTAATTTGAAGTTTAATATCTAGGTCTATGGCTCCCATGCCTCCATAGTCCCTTCTTTTAAATAATAAATTACGCTGAGTATAATTATCAGAGCCAAAGAGTAGTTAAAAATACATTCTGTCAAAAATGTTTCCATAAGGCAATACCATTTTCTAATAAATAATTTTCTCTACAAAAGTATCTTTTAAATGTGTAAATGAAAAGCTTTAATTGACCAAACTTATAACATTTTGTGAGAGCTGAAATATGTTATAAGTTGAAGAAGTCCATGGTTATTTGTTTGTTACTTTATATTTTATATTTACCATTAACTATTTGGTACATTTCTGGATTTTTGTATTTAATCATTTTGATGATGGCCACACAACCAAACCTAAATACAGTGTATAGATTCAGGTGTTTCTATTGGACTAATTCTTACTTTTATGTCAAATTGTTGACATGTTATATACAAATGTGTGTCTTGACTCATCAGAAACAGTTTAGAATGAATGTCTCCTATAAAGAGTATTTTTGAATACTTTGATCAACTTTAAATGTAATGTTAATCTCACAAAGGGTCTTATTTAAATTATAAATGTTATTAAGCATGTGAGGGTTTATTACATATTATCAAACGTTTAATCATCAAACGCTTAGTATAAAGCCTGACTGAATTATATAAACAATATTTAAAGGAAGACTTAAATGTGTTGAAAGATAAGGCTAGATGGAGGCTGCAGCGTTGGCCCCGCCTAGCAGCTTTCCCGCTCTCCGACTTCTCTTAGGTCCGCAGTGAATATTTAAATACTGCCGGTCATTCTGCTTCTATCCATTCGTTCTGTACGAGCCGACATAACGATACCTGAAAATGAGTGGAAGAGGAAAAGGAGGAAAGGGACTCGGCAAAGGAGGCGCCAAGCGTCACCGCAAAGTGCTCCGTGATAACATTCAGGGCATCACCAAGCCCGCTATCCGCCGTCTGGCTCGCCGTGGCGGAGTGAAGCGTATCTCCGGTCTGATCTACGAGGAGACCCGTGGGGTGCTGAAGGTCTTCCTGGAGAATGTGATCCGTGATGCCGTCACCTACACCGAGCACGCCAAGAGGAAGACCGTGACCGCCATGGATGTGGTGTATGCCCTGAAGAGGCAGGGCCGCACTCTGTACGGCTTCGGAGGTTAAACATCTACACCCTGATATACCTGGAAAAACAACGGCTCTTTTAAGAGCCACCCAAATTACTGAAAGTCTGTTTCCTTTCGATATCGGCAAAAACACATCTATGAACATTTATATAAAACCTAAATTCCATCTCTAAAGCAGAGTTCTTGCTAGTATACTTGATATTAAAAATGTTACCTATTGGACAATGTTTTTTATCCGACATCCAAGATATACAAATCAATTCTATGTTCTAAATACCACAGGGTTTTGACACAAGTCGGACTGGGTAATGTCCAAAGTAATCAACGTATAACATGTCTAATATTAGCTAGTGATGGGAATTATGGCTCTTTGAAAGGAGCCGGATCTTATGGCTCCGTTCCTTTAAAAGAGCCGTTTTTTTAAGGTTACTAGGTTTATTTGCAAAATAATCACCAGGATAATGATTGACTGTATTGCCAGACCTAATGTCAATAATCGGCATTGTAAACATGACACAAGGTGGCGCCATATCCATGTCATCATGTCAGTGAATGTACTTTGAATTTACCCTCTGTATGTGTTAAGTAAATAAAGTTGCCTTGCCTTGAATGAAATTCATGCAACTCTTAATATTAGATACTGTGTTTTTAAGTGGCGATGGAGATTATTTGTTGATCCTGCTTTAAAGGATATTTTGCCTTTACAAATGGTGCGCTTTATCACTGCCTGGGTTTTGGTTGAAGTGAATCCAAATGCTGCTGCGTTTTCGCGTTTGGCTCATTTTCCATCCGAAAAACACGTCGTCTACCTGTCCTGTACCACTTGTTATGACTTCTCTCTCTCGCGTATTCCGTTAACACCCACCCCATCTCACTCCTCGTGCTGAAACCTACCAAACAGAGTAGGGGCGGATCTTCACAGAATACGTTTGGGGAACAAAATCAAGCTTTTTAAAAGGCGAGTGGATTTTGGCAGGCAGTGAGTGCGGACCAACGATTGAACGATAACAAGAACGGCTCTCACCAAGTAGGACTCGGTTCCCCTCGTTCGTACCAAAGAGCCGTTCAAAAGAATCGGCTCGTTCGCGACCGACACATCACTAATATTAGCTAATGTAAGGTGCTTTGTGACTTTGGAAAGCTCTCAAATAAATACCATCAATCAATAATTAAGTCCAAATGTATTTCCATAGTCAGGAAAGGGATTTCTCAGAGCATCGTTATTGGTTGTCTGAATTGCAATTAATGTATTGTCACACTTTAACATTAATGAAAAAAGGCTTATTTATATCGACTCGAATCCTGTTTAAATTAAATGACTATGTTAGACATTGATTTGTCCTATCTGAGCTATATATGTATTCAGGAGAGGCCTGGTTCTAAGATTGGACTGTCAAGACCTGCAGCAGTTAACTATTGGACACAGTTCTTATAAACTACTATAAACATGAGAATCCAACACAATACAATTGTCAGAAAACATTTCTTTTCACAGAGCACATCATTGCAATTTTTGATTGATCAAATTCATGTTTTACCTTTATAAACATATTGTATTTGTCTTGATTTAATGGCATCAACCATATTCCCTCTGCTTTTTTTGATGAACACAATAATTAGCATAATCTTGTATTGTATGTTTTAGTGTATGTATAATTGTTGATATTTCGCTACGTTTATTTTGAAGAAGTATCTATTCTATGCTTTAATGGCCCATACTTTGTCTAGGATGTTGAGTTGTATTGTAGTTTTTCTTTTATTTCCAATTCTGTTATTAATTATTTGTATTTTAATGTCTCCAATCTTTATTTCAGTTTTTAGAAACCCCTGTTAACAGAGGATCCAGAGGAGAGTTGCTGTTCTACCATGATTGGAAACAATCTCAAATGTTGCATTCCTAAAAGACACTTTTTTTCTACCAGCTGCTATTGACAGTTATTTCTCTACTTGTATAGATGTGTACTGTTGTCATACATATTCATTCACTGCCATATATGCATCAATTTTTGTCCACCAGACTGCTACTTTTATATATTCATTGTTGTGCCTTTTTTTAATTTGTATTTTGTGTATGTATTTATATAAAGATACATTTATATATTTGTATCTTTGGGACGGTGGGACACAGCATTACGGTGTCCAATGTCTAAGTCCAATTAAAACAATGTTGAATGACATTTGGAAATTGAATCTGCATGGAAAGCCTCTATTTTACAACACCTAATACAAATGTTGTCTTATGTTCAGACACAAACTTTTCCAAATCCTTTCTGACTTTTTGTTTGTCCGTCTCTGTAACTCCTATTGAAAAAGATGCGGGTTGTAAAAATCATCACAATTTGAAAAAGCTGCTTATATCTCTCTGTGTTGCAAACCCGTTGTTTTAAGAGTAAAAGTATTACGGTCATATTTTGCAACCCTGTCTCCTACAAATTACGTTCCCACAGAACTAAACTGCATTCTCAATTACGTTTAGCTAGAAACGTATTTTCTCCCACGTTACGTTTGTTATGAACGTATCTCAAATACGTTTATTTTCTACATATCTTCTAGAAACATATTTTCTCCCACACGTTACGTTTGTTATGAACGTCTCTCAAATACGTTTATTTTCTACATATCTTCGAGAAACATATTTTCTCCCACGTTACGTTTGTCCATCATTGTGCCATATGTTTTTATAAGATTGCAAAAGGAGTGAGAAAACTCAGGAGTCCAGAACCATTTCCAAAGCTTTTGTCACTTTTACTGTCCTTTAAACTCAGCATTCACCAATGCACAATTATCTACATATAACAAGAAATATGCTGCACGTAGCACCCAACAGAAGTTTTGATGGAAACCCCAAAATGTACATCTATTTGTATGTATAGGTTCAAATGTTGATATATCAACCATGTTTTACAGCTCAGAAAAATAAGGTTGAAAGAAGAGTTTGGAAAATGCAATGAAAGTGGTGATCAGCAATTTCATATGTTCAAATGTCTACTGTAAAGGATAACATAAAGTCTTAAAGGTGGGGTAGGTAAGTTTGAGAAACCGGCTCGAGATACACTTTTTGTTATATTCCATGGAATGCTCTTAACATCCCGATAGCAATGAATATATTAAGTGCTTTGACAAAAAATCCATAAAAAAATGTCATCTGTGGAAGCTGTAATACTGTAAAAAGTACGGCCAATCATTTTAGCCGGCCCGGCTAAAATAACTGGATGGCCTACCTGCCTGTCAGCCTTCCATCTGTGCACAAACTTATCTCGTGCCCTCATTGGTTGTGTGCGCGTTCGTGTGTGTTGGAGGAGGGGCTCTGTAAGGAAGTGGCAGATTTTCTCCGGTTGTGTATTTTCAAATTCTAGCGATCTCGAGCCGGTTTCTCAAACTTACGTACCCTACCTTTAATGCAATCGAATGTAAAACAAAAAAGTTATGATTGATGAAAGTAGTAAATCGGTCAGATTTGACCCGAACACAACAGGAGGGTTAATTGTTTGCGTTTTGTCCCTTTTATTTTATATTTCTGATAAAGCGACACTGAAGAAAGCTGTTATTGAGTACACCTGAATATCATTTTTTATAAACAGGCTGAAAATGATTATCTGTACTTTGTATGTATTGTGGGTTTTACCATCAGGGGGAATAATGGAAATGCATTGTCCATATTTTCCTTTTCTCACAGTCTTTTTCATACATTTTATTCATTAAATATAAATATATTGTTGGGAAAAAGCAACAGTGAAAGAACATAAGAACAAGTAGACATTGTTTATTCTGTTTGTGTTTTTATTCATCTTCCACAGTTTTCATTTGTTCAAACATACATCAGTAAAGTCTTGCTGTTCAATGATATGTACAAAGTCACTTCTTCAACACAATCGTTTGGTGTGATTCACCGTTATTATCTGATACAACTATCAGCTGTCAGCGACAACCATGAAGACAAAAGAGTGATTACAGATTTGAAACCTTCAATTACTTTCATTCTGAGAGTTTGCTGAACTCAACTCTGTCACCATGAGGACCACCAGGACCATACAATGCAACTCCGGCGTGGAGAGGCTCAGTGAATCTGGTCTCCACTCGGTGGAGGAGGGTCATGGTTTCAGAGAGTCTGTAGAAGCACAGGATACCTGCATCGTGATCCAGGTACACTCCTACTCTGGAGGACTGAGGACCTGAGATTTCAGACTCAAATGCACCAAGCATAGTGTAATCGTCACCCCGATGTAATAAATAGCTGTAGAGCTCATTGAATCCAAATGTAATGTCCCCCATGTCCACTTTCCTGGAGTCTAAAAACTCAAATGTAGGACCATGATTAAAGCAAAACACTTTCCAGGACAGGCTGTCGTCCATAAAAAGACTGTCTCTGCTGATGCTCTTGTACGAAAGTGCAATAGTAGCTGCTCCCCAAATCTCCACCTCGAAGTAACAACGTCCAGTCAGACTCTCGCGGCTCTGGACCTGCCAACCTTTGGTGAATCTTTCTACGTTGCTTCGATACGACAGTTCCTTATCCCCTAATGTCACTAATCTGTTCCCCATGGATAATCTCAATCTGTTATTTACTGTGTTAGGGTCCATGGTGACTCTACGAGCATATTTAAGGCATTCAACTCTGGTCTCTGGCTCTGGATTGGTCAATGAAACATCCTGAGTCTCCATCTTTGAGATTTCTGTCTCTCTCAGAGCATCCGTAATTCTATCTCTGAGTTCTGAGACGGCTGCTTTCACCTCCTCAAATTTTGGCGTGGGAGAGATGTCGCTGCTGGTTAGTTCTATAGAGTCCAACAGGTCCTCCAGGTCATTGCTCTTCAGTTGATGAGCTTGGAGATAGACCTTCTCCAGGTCTGCAACTTTTCCCCTCAGATCGGTGATCCTCTGCTCCAGCTTCTCCTGATGATCTTTTACTCGCCTCACTCCAGTTTCCTGCTCGGTTTTGATCTGCTGCTTCACATCAGATTTTCTCTTCTCGAGGAGACGGGTCAGCTCAGTGAACATCTTCTCACTGTCCTCCACTGCTTTATCAGCAGAGCAGTTGATGGCCTCCACCTCCTGTCGAAGTAGCTTCACATCTTCTTCTCCCCCCTGGATTATTTCCTGGATATCAAGTGAAGTACGTCTAATCTCACCGTGCATCTCAGTTGATTCCATAGGCAGGAGTCCCGTCTTCAGTTCCTCCACCAGACATGCTAACATGGTGTTTTTCAAAAGGTCAGGTCTCGGTCTGAAGGTCTGCTTACACTCAGGACAGCTGACTGGTGGTTTCTCTTTATCCCAGAAGCACTGAAGGCAGTCCATGCAGTAGCTGTGTCCACAGGGAATAGTCACTGGATCCTTCAGTACGTCCCAACATATCTTACAGGAGATGGAGTCCAGCTCGATTTCTTCTTCCCACATTTCACCTCCTTGCAGTAACTGTGTGAGAGATTGTGAGAAATGCCTGTGCTGTGCCTTAAGTACAAACGCTGGTCTGATTGTTCCTTTTCATTGGTTAATCTTCACCAATAGGCATGGTTACGCCCATCTTGCATATCATTAAGGGGGAGGGAAAAGGGCCGCCAGAGGGGACGAAGAGGGAGGAGTTATCAAGCTTTCATACAACTCATGCTTAGAACAAATACTAGATTGTCTATCTACATGGGGAGACAATTCACTGAGTTGTATCTAACTGTTAGGCTAAGTTACAATGCAAAGATAGGCAATTCATTCCTAGAAGAGGCTCTGAAGCATTTTCTCTTGAAATGCAACTCTCCTTAGCATTAATATCAACACGGTTTCTATTTTAAAAAGGGATTAAATATAAATATATATATAACTTTGTTGCTTTTTACCAACAATATCTTTATAGTTGATGAGGAAGACTAAGAAATGGAAGAAGGGAATTTGGCCAAGCCATTTCCATTATCCAATATTATGCCAAACAGTCCTGATGTGCAATCCATAATACATAGCACAGATAGTCATTCTCAGCCTAGGTACGTATACAAATATGTTACCAATTATACTTAATAACAGTGTAGCTTCATCAGAAATAACAAGAAAAAGGGAACAGAAATGCCAATATTAATACATTCAAAAATACTGCTGCTAGTTTATAAAGCATTGAATGGTTTATCCCCAAAATAAATTTCTGATCTACTGCTAAATTATGAACCATCCAGATCTCTCAGGTCTTCAGCGACTGGTCAGCTTTCTGTCCCCAGAGTCAAAACTAAACATGGTAAAGCAGCGTTCAGTTATTATGCTCCAAATATCTGGAAAATTGCAAACATCAATACTCCATGGTTTTGCAGAATTGTGAAAAATTGATGTTCAATTTTTAAGCTCACATCCCATTCTTTGTCCCCTACCATGCATGTTTTGTTGGGTAGTTATTATAAGTTATAAGGACAAAATGTCTGAAGGAGATACAGTAGGAATTAAAAAAGTTAAAGTCACCTTACAGTTGTTCAGCTGCAGAGCTCTCTTTACTTGCAGAAAACACAAGCAGAGTGCACCTATACCCATATATCATGATAAATGTGCACCAAAAGATGGATGAAATATACATTTGTATGCATTTATTCAAACATGTAAACATCAAACTTGGTTCATAGCTGAATTATGTTGGAAAATATGTAAGAGTTTGGGAACAGGTTTAAAGAGTCAGAGAACAGGTTTTGCCAGGCAGTGTGAGACGCTGAACGACTGTACCTTAAGAAACTCCAGTAAGTGAACGACTCTGAAAGGGTCTCAAACTCTCCACTAACGACGTGCACCTGGCCAACGACCTGTATTATTTTAATGAGGGTTTGAAAGACAATGGGACACAGAGGGATGTTAGCAGGCTGTTCAAGAGACGCTAATGTACACCACATGATCATCTGCAAACAAAAGACTCAAATAACGTCTTATGGTAATACTTTGTCTTCTCCTTAGTTGTCCTATAACGCTGTGAAGTTGAATATTTGTCCACATTGAAGACAGAATGGGGCAACTGGAGGATTGTTGACATCCACCTGGATCACTCATCTTCTTATATATAGACGCATGATCTTTCTATCTTTCTGATCTTGGACTACCTATGTTGTAAATGCATTCTCTTTTTAATTTACACACAACATATATTGCTCGTCTGTCCGTCCTCTGTGGCTCTCCTTGATGTTAATACCCCATTAACTGTGGGGTTACTTTGGGAGTCTTTCTCTCCATTAAGTCCTTTGCTAATTTGCTGCAGAAAGAGGCGTCATTTGCACTGGGCACACTTTTTAAATGTATAATATAAAAGTTCTGAAAAGTAGCGTGCACAAAGAAAGTCAATAAACAAGAACATTGATTTAGTGTCGAGATGTGCAGTTTGGACATGTTAATAAACTTTTAATAGAAAATGTAAAGAAAAACATTGATAAATAAAGAAATAACAAAATAAATATAGAAATACATTAAAGATTGAATGTGTTCTGTTTTATTCTCAACTGCTCATTCCACCATTTTGGAGCCAGGATAGCAAACCGACGTGTTTTTGCCGATGTCATGTTCTGTCCTCCATACCTGTGTGTTCTCTGAAGATTGATCAGGGATTCTTTTCACAGAATGGCCTCACACTCCTCACTCCAAGTTCTCCATCAATATATCTGTACCAGTCGTAACATCATTTGAGCTTTAAGTGATGACATAATGCTCTTTAACTCCACAGGTTTTGATCAGTCTGTAAACATGTCCCAGTGATCTGAGGTGTTTTAAGAATCCCTCTTGTGTTCGCATCAGTTTTCACATTTCACTTAACAAGCTGCAGGAAGACAAAACTTGATGGAACAGCTTCAAATAATAGTAATGAGAGATTTCAACATATAAAATAAATCCCACAGCGTCCCCAAGGAGTCTCACTGTTGGAAAGATGTGATTTGGGAATGGGATAATTGAGGTTATCGATAACAATTCCTCTAAGTCCAATTAAAACAATGTTGAAACTAAAATTAACGAAATGTAAAGAAACATACAGTATATTCATTTTGTGATTGAATTTTCATTAATTGATTTTGTTGTTATTGTCTTAATGACTCAGAATAAGACTGCACATGTTGTTATGTTATAGAATAAGCGGATGAATGAACCTGTGATGATAAAAAAGGAAGTCCTTCACAGTTTTAGGAAGCAGTGGGAATAACTTGGTGGATTGTCTGGTACGTCCTTGGTCAGAACTAATCTCTACTCTAAACGCTGCAGCAACATGACATTTGAAAGTTTGAGCTGCATGGAAAGCCTCTCTTTTACAACTACAAATACAAATGTTGTCTTATGTTCAGACACAAACTTTTCCAAATCCTTTCTGACTTTTTGTTTGTCCGTTTCTGTAACTCCTGTTGAAAAAGATGCTGGTTGTAAAAATCATCACAATTTGAAAAAGCTGCTTATATCTCTGTGTTGCAAACCCGTTGTTTTAAGAGTAAAAGTATTACGTTCATATTGGTTTCACATTTTGACTGCAGTTTTGTGATACCCTGAAATGAAGACATGAAGAAAATACTTTCTGTTTTTGTATTCATCATGTAAACCACTTCTGCCTGAAAGGGTCTCAGATTGATCACCAATAGCAAACCCAAAGCACTCCGGTCCAATAACAACTTGAGCCGGTCCAACGACCTGAAAGAAAGCTAGGTCCATTTTGAAAGACAATGGGACAGTTCTGGTACCAATTAAGACTTTTCATTATTATGGAGAGAGTCGTTAACAGGCTGTTCAACAGAAGCTACTGTACAAAACCTGCCCAGCAACAAGCAGAAGACCCTCATGAGAAAGGCATTTCATTGGTTGATTGATATGAATTGATGACTCATGTGGCGTTTGTAAAGTTATTTGTATTTAAGTTTCACTGATATTTGTAAGGAAGTTGTATTAAAGTATCCATATTCTTTAAGCACATCTTGGGAATCTCAATCATTGCAAACTTTGTTAACACACTCTGAAAAATGATGTATAAGAATCAGACGGAAAGTATTACATTTTTCGACTTGAAGATCACAATGTTAGGAATAAATACAATTACAGAAAATGGTAAATGTAGCTAGGGAAACCAACCAAGACCAACCAAGTGATAAATAATTAGTAAAGACATTAGATATCACTCCTATAGGAATCACAGCTTTTAGCCTTAAGAAAGACACTGTTTACGAGTAAGAGCTGTACAGCAAATACTTTCTGAAAAATATAATTATACATCTGATTGTAAAACTGGCTCGATTCTCCCATGTTAATTCATTTTTCAGTTTCCTGCTGTTTTCCATCATAAACTGCCCTATACCACTGTGTGTAGAAGATGAAGTGTACTACATGTAAAGAGATTTTCAAAGTTTTACTCTGAGGAAACATTACTGCTATTTTCTTACAACTGGATGTAGACTTGTTATACTGCTTACTAAAAAAACACTTGTAGGTATACCATGAACTCCATTAAACTATCTATGCACACATTAATTTAGTGTCTGATCACAGAGTTAATAATGCTTGATGCACATGCAGCAGATACCACGGTACTTATTTATTGATATTGGCATTTCTGTTTAACCCTCCTGTTGTGTTCGCTTTCCCCCCCTTACTTCTGTGTTCGAGGTAAAATTTCACCGGTCCTATTTTAACTGCTATTACATTAACATAAAAACCATTAATCATCACCAAATTTCATTTAACACCCTTTCAAACTGTACATATTGTATCAGACTACTGGTATACATGAAAAACTGCAGTAAATACAAAGAATAGACACTGAACATGTATTGCATGTGCCAGGTGTGATCCATGTGGGGGGATGGGCACATAAGGGGGGAAACACATCTAGTGTATGTATGTGTGTGTGTGTGTGTGTGTGTGTGTGTGTGTGTGTGTGTGTGTGTGTGTGTGTGTGTGTGTGTGTGTGTGTGTGCATGTTTGTTTTATCTGATGTGGATGGTTACTAATTCCTTTTCTTTATGGCGGTCATTTTTGACCGGGAACACCATGGGTGTTACAAAGTTGACTAAATCATCCAAAATTCAATGAAAGTGGTGATCAGCAATTTGATATGTTCAAATGTCTACTGTGAAGGATATCATAAAGCCTTAATGCAATCGAATGTAAAACAAAAAAAGTTATGATTGATGTTATTGAGGTTATGAGTTATGATTGAAGTAGTAAATCGGTCAAATTTGACCCGAACACAACAGGAGGGTTAATTGTTTGAGTTTTGTCCCTTTTATTTTATATTTCTGATAAAGCGACACTGAAGAAAGCTGTTATTGAGTACACCTGAATATCATTTTTTATAAACAGGCTGAAAATGATTATGTGTACTATGTATGTATTGTGTGTTTGACCATCAGGGGGCTTTGGCATAATGGAAATGCATTGGCCAGATTTTCCTTTTCTTGCAGTCTTTTTCATACATTTTATTCATTAACTATAAATATAGTGTTGGTAAAAAAGCAACAGTGAAAGAACATAAGGACAAGTAGACATTGTTTATTCTGTTTGTGTTTTTATTCATCTTTCACAGTTTAATTTGTTCCAACATACATCAGTAAAGTCTTGCTGTTCAATGATATGTACAAAGTCACTTCTTCAACACAATCGTTTGGTGTGATTGACCGTTATTATCTGATACAACTATCAGCTGTCAGCGACAACCATGAAGACAAAAGAGTGATTACAGATTTGAAACCTTCAATTACTTTCGTTCTGAGAGTTTGCTGAACTCAACTCTGTCACCATGAGGACCACCAGGACCATACAATGCAACTCCGGCGTGGAGAGGCTCAGTGAATCTGGTCTCCACTCGGTGGAGGAGGGTCATGGTTTCAGAGAGTCTGTAGAAGCACAGGATACCTGCATCGTGATCCAGGTACACTCCTACTCTGGAGGACTGAGGACCTGAGATTTCAGACTCAAATACACCAAGCATAGTGTGATCATTTAATGAATAGCTGCAGAGGTCATTGAATCCAAATGTAATGTCCCCCATGTCCACTTTCCTGGAGTCTAAAAACTCAAATGTAGGACCATGATTACAGCAAAACACTTTCCAGGACAGGCTGTCGTCCTCAAAAAGTAAGTCTCTGCTGATGCTCTTGTACGAAAGTGCAATAGTAGCTGCTCCCCAAATCTCCACCTCGAAGTAACAACGTCCAGTCAGACTCTGGCGGCTCAGGGCCTGCCAACCTTTGGTGAATCTTTCTACGTTGCTTCGATACGACAGTTCCTTATCCCCTAATGTCACTAATCTGTTCCCCATGGATAATCTCAATCTGTTATTTATTGTGTTAGGGTCCATGGTGACTCTACGAGCATATTTAAGGCATTCAACTCTGGTCTCTGGCTCTAGATTGGTCAGTGAAACATCCTGAGTCTCCATCTTTGAGATTTCTGTCTCTCTCAGAGCATCCGTAATTCTATCTCTGAGTTCTGAGACGGCTGCTTTCACCTCCTCAAACTTTGGCGTGGGAGAGATGTCGCTGCTGGTTAGTTCTATAGAGTCAAACAGGTCCTCCAGGTCAGTGTTCTTTAGTCGATGAGCTTGGAGAAAGACCTTCTCCAGGTCTGCAACTTTTCCCCTCAGGTCGGTGATCCTCTGCTCCAGCTTCTCCTGATGATCTTTGACTCGCCTCACTCCAGTTTCCTGCTCGGTTTTGATCTGCTGCTTCACATCAGATCTTCTCTTCTCGAGGAGACGGGTCAGCTCAGTGAACATCTTCTCACTGTCCTCCACTGCTTTATCAGCAGAGCAGTTGATGGCCTCCACCTCCTGTCGAAGTAGCTTCACATCTTCCTCTCCCTCCTGGATTATTTGCTGGATATCAAGTGAAGTACGTCTAATCTCACCGTACATCTCAGTTGATTCCATAGGCAGGAGTCCCGTCTTCAGTTCCTCCACCAGACATGCTAACATGGTGTTTTTCAACAGGTCAGGTCTGCGTCTGAAGGTCTGCTTACACTCAGGACAGCTGACTGGTGGTTTCTCTTTATCCCAGAAGCACTGAAGGCAGTCCATGCAGTAGCTGTGTCCACAGGGAGTAGTCACCGGATCCTTCAGTACGTCCCAACATATCTTACAGGAGATGGAGTCCAGCTCAATTTCTTTCTCTGCCATTTCACCTCCTTGCAGTAACTGTGTGAGAGATTCTGAGAAATGCCTGTGCTGTGCCTTAAGTACACACGCTGGTCTGGTTGTCCCTTTTCATTGGCTAATATTCACCAATAGGGATGGTTTACGCCCATCTTGCATATCATTAAGGGGGAGGGAACAGGGCCGCCAGAGGGGACGAAGAGGGAGGAGTTATCAAGCTTTCATACAACTCATGCTTAGAACAAATACTAGATTGTCTATCTACATGGGGAGACAATTCACTGAGTTTTATCTAACTGTTAGGCTAAGTTACAATGCAAAGATAGGCAATTCATTCCTAGAAGAGGCTCTGAAGCATTTTCTCTTGAAATGCAACTCTCCTTAGCATTAATATCAACACGGTTTCTATTTTAAAAAGGGATTAAATATAAATATATATATATATAACTTTGTTGCTTCTTACCAACAATATCTTTATAGTTGATGAGGAAGACTATGAAATGGAAGAAGGGAATTTGGCCAAGCCATTTCCATTATCCAATATTATGCCAAACAGTCCTGATGTGCAATCCATAATACATAGCACAGATAGTCATTCTCAGCCTAGGTACGTATACAAATATGTAACAACAATATCTTTATAGTTGATGAGGAAAATGTATGAGAAAGACTAAGAAATGGAAGAAGGGAATTTGGCAAAGCCATTTCCATTATCCAATATTATCCATAATACATAGCACAGATTCTCAGCCTAGGTACGTATGCAAATATATGACCAATTATACTTAATAACAGTGTCGCTTTATCAGAAATAACAAGAAAAAGGGACAGAAATTCAAACAGAATTGTCAATATCAATAAATAAGTACTGTGGAATCTGCTGCATGTGCATCAAGCAGTATTCAACACAAAGAGAACGGACCTCCACTAATGTGTGCATAGACATTAAATGGAGTTCATGGTGTACCTACAAGTGTTTTTTTAGTAAGCAGTATAACAAGTCTACATCCAGTTGTAAGAAAATAGCAGTAATGTTTCCTCAGAGTAAAACTATTTAAATCTCTTTACATGTAGTACACTTCATCTTCTACACACAGGGCAGTTTATGGTGAAAAACAGCAGGGACAAAGTGAAACTGAAAAATGAATTAACATGGGGGAATCGAGCCAGTTTTACAATCAGATGTATAATTATATTTTTAGAAAGTATTTGCTGTACAGCTCTTACTCGTAAACAGTGTCTTTTGTACGGGTAAAAGCTGTGATTCCTATAAGGTAGAAGTGATATCTTATGTCTTTACTAATTATTTATCACTTCGGTTGGTCTTGGTTGGTTTCCCTAGCTACATTTACCATTTTCTGTAATTTTATTTATTCCTAACATTGTGATCTTCAAGTTGAAAAATCGAAATACTTTGCAGCAGATTCTTATACACCATTTTTCAGAGTGTGTTAACAAAGTCTGAAATGATTGAGATTCCCAAGATGTGCTTAAAGAATACGGATACTTTAATACAACTTCCTTACAAATATCAGTAAAACTTAAATACACAAAAGGCTCATCAATTTTCATCAATCAACCAATGAAATGCCTTTCTCATGAGGGTCTTCTGCTTGTGGCTGGGCAGGTTTAGTACAGTAGCTTCTGTTGAACAGCCTGTTAACGACTCTCTCCATGATAAAGAAAAGTCTTAATGGTACCAGAACTGTCCCATTGTCTTTCAAAATGGATGTAGATTTCTTTCAGGTCGTTGGACCAGCTCAAGTCGTTATTGGACCGGAGTGCTTTAGGTTTGCTATTGGTGATCAATCTGAGACCCTTTCAGACAGAAGAGGAGTCGTTTACTGAGAACTTTGCTGGAGTTTCTTTAGAGTCGTTCAGCGTCTCTCACTGCCTCGCTAAACCAGTTCTTTGACTCTTCAAACTTGTCCTCACTTCCCAAACTCTTCTACCCTTCCAACCTTATGTTTCTGTGCTGGGATGCAAGCTAGCTATTTACACTTTTGAAAGTATGAATAAAAACAGAGGTACCTTTTTTGGTTTCTATCCAGGTCACTCAACAGTCGTTTGTTTGGAAATGCTGTTGGAGTTTCTCAACTTTTCAGGTCGTTGGACCGGCACGAGTCGTTATTGGATTGGTGCTTTAGGTTTGCTATTGGTGATCAATCTGAGACCCTTTCAGGCAGAAGTGGTTTACATGATGAATAAAACAACAGAAAGTATTTTCTTCATGTCTTCATTTTAGGGTATCACAAAACTGCAGTCAAAATGTGAAACCAATATGACCGTAATACTTTTACTCTTAAAACAATGGGTTTGCAACACAGAGATATAAGCAGCTTTTTCAAATTGTGATGATTTTTACAACCAGCATCTTTTTCAACAGGAGTTACAGAGACGGACAAACAAAAAGTCAGAAAGGATTTGGAAAAGTTTGTGTCTGAACATAAGACAACATTTGTATTAGGTGTTGTAAAATAGAGGCTTTCCATGCAGCTCAAACTTCCAAATGTCATGTTGCTGCAGCGTTTAGAGTAGAGATTAGTTCTGACCAAGGACGTACCAGACAATCCACCAAGTTATTCCCACTGCTTCCTAAAACTGTGAAGGACTTCCTTTTTTTATCATCACAGGTTCATTTTTCTGCTTGTTCTATAACATAACAACATGTGCAGTCTTATTCTGAGTCATTAAGACAATAACAACAAGATCAATGAATGAAAATTAAATCACAAAATGAATATACTGTATGTTTCTTTATATTTCGTTAATTTTAGTTTCAACATTGTTTTAATTGGACTTAGAGGAATTGTTATCGATAACCTCAATTATCCCATTCCCAAATCACATCTTTCCAACAGTGAGACTCCTTGGGGACGCTGTGGGATTTATTTTATATGTTGAAATCTCTCATTACTATTATTTGAAGCTGCTCCATCAAGTTTTGTCTTCCTGCAGCTTGTTAAGTGAAATGTGAAAACTGATGCGAACACAAGAGGGATTCTTAAAACACCTCAGATCACTGGGACATGTTTACAGACTGATCAAAACCTGTGGAGTTAAAGAGCATTATGTCATCACTTAAAGCTCAAATGATGTGCGACTGGTACAGATATATTGATGGAGAACTTGGAGTGAGGAGTGTGAGGCCATTCTGTGAAAAGAATCCCTGATAAATCTCCAGAGAACACACAGGTATGGAGGACAGAACATGACATGAGTAACAAATAAATAAATACATAAATAGAGGAACAAATATATAAAACAATAAATAACTGTGAAAAAAACTGAAATAAATCAATATGGAAATAAATACAGGAATAAATCAATAAATGTGGAGAAAAAAATACATTAATAAATAAACACAAGAATAAATATATATATATATAAATATACAAATAAATGTATAAATACAAAATTATAAGTTGAGAATAAAACAGAACACATTATATATTTAATTAATTTTGTTATTTCTTTATTTATCAATGTTTTTTTTTACATTTTCTATTAAAAGTTTATTAACATGTCCAAACTGCACATCTCGACGCTAAATCAATGTTCTTGTTTATTGAATTTCTTTGTGTACGCTATTTTTTTTTGAACATTTAAATTATACATTTAAAAAGTGTGTCCAGCGCAAGGACTTAATGGAGAGAAAGATTCCCAAAGAAACCCCACAGTTAATGGGGTATTAACATCAAGGAGAGCCACAGAGGACGGACAGACGAGCAATAGATGTTGTGTGTAGCTTCTCTTGAACAGCCTGCTAACGTCCCTCTGTGTCCCATTGGCTCTCAAACCCTCATTAAAATAATACAGGTCGTTGGCCAGGTGCACGTCGTTAGTGGAGAGTTTGAGACCCTCTCAGAGTTTCTTAAGGTCGTTCAGTGTCTCACACTGCCTGAAAAAAACCTGTTCTTTGTCTCTTTTACCCCTTTCACACCAACGGTGTTTCAGGGCCGGTTCGGTGCTGGTGCTTGAAAAGCACCGGGTTTTCCTGTTCACACCGCAGCGGAGCAGCGTCATAGCTCCGGAATCCGGTTCGTTTCGAGCACCAAAAAGTTGTCCGTCTAGAAGCAAGAACCGCATACGTCACGCTTACGTCGGAGGGGGGCGAGATTAACCTGAGCTAACACTTAAGGCGAGTACGGCAAATAAAAGTTGTAACCAGCAGTAGTGCTGAGCAAAGTGACTAGAACGCAACCACACACTTGTTAAAAAAAACACACTTTATAAAGTCAGGCAACACTAACCAGGCTTCGTGTGATTCTGTTTATTTGTACCTTACTTTGACCATCCGTTCGCTGTTATTGATCATTGTGGAGAGCAGGCAGACGTTTTGTTTGTTATTATAGCAGCTATCGGATGGAATCAATACATGGGCTGCACAGGTTGTCATGTCCGACTATCACAAGTAGAATCATAATGAAAAATACGTCGGTAAAAAGTAGCCTGTAGAAAACTGCTTAGCAAGTAGTCAGTTTAGCTTCGGTTGCTATGCTAACATCACCCATGTTATACCAGAGAAACTTTCATAACAGCGTTGTGATGCCAAACAGCGTCAATTCAGACTGACACACATTCACTTAAGGGGAACTGGGGATATGTAACAGCTGCTTGTGTGACAGTCAGACAGTGAATACTTTAGAGCCGTGTGAGCTAACCCGGAGCTAACGGGAGAATACACTCCCGTTGACGAGCAGCCAGCACTGCAGCGGTCGGTAAATGCCGCTGAAACACATTAATAAACAATGAACCACGGCACTCTGGAGAAAAGTATAAGGTTGGAGAAGTCGTTATTTAATTTAATCTGGCTTCGTATGATTAAAAGCAACGCAGTCCCCGGCCCGTTGTTGTTGTGAGGTGAGCTCCGGCGTTGGGGAGAAACTCAGCGACGTAAACTGTGACGTCATGACGCAGCAGCGGCAGCACCAGTCGGGCTCTGAGCGGTGTGAAAAGAGCCGGCGCTAAACCGAAGAACCGGTTCTGAACCAGAAAAGCTCTAGCACGGAGCTTGAACCGGA